CCCTTTTGTGACTAGTTTATATTGGCACTTTGTGGTTTGTGATTTTTTTAGCTGAATTACAAATATAATCCTAGAATTTATTAATAATAAAAGGAAGAAAAAAAAGTCACGCGTAGGGGTTGGCAAAGTTTCTAATGTGGACAATATTGAATTTATTTTTTTAACATGTTTATTATTAACACCTTGTTTTTTATTCTCAAAAGATAGGGTGGGTTAGAACCCATAGGAGACTAAAGCCTCTCAAGTCACCTTCAATATTGAACCAATGAATCCATTAAAGTTGAAGTTTTCATGCCGTCTACATCTCTTAAACCATTGAAGATGACCACAACCACTGGCGAATCTAGTAAGGCACAAGGAGGTGCAGCTGCACCTCCCTTCGTCGGAAAAATCATTGTAGGTGCTTCAAATTACCCCTTTGCCTTTTACTTTTATTTATTTTTATATTACTCCATTTACTTAAGTTTACAATGTAAATAAGGAAGTACCCCCCATTTGGATTCAAATAAAAATACTAGAAAATCAAATTCCCACCAAATCAAAATATGAAAATTCAGTTTTAGCGCAAAATACGATTTAGGCTAAAAATGATGGCTCATTAAGTCAATATATACTTCATACTAAAATCTCATAAAATCAAGTTTTCTTATTTGATGTGTAAGGAATAAAAGCCGCCAAAAATTATCTTGAGAAAATGATTATTCCGAAAAACCATTTTTCATACTGAGTCAATATTGCACATCCGCTAAAAAATTTCTAGGTCCGCCAGTGACCACAACACCCTCCTAAGGTTCGCAAGTATTGCAATGTGGTTTTGGGGTAGAGTGATATGTCATTCTCAAATGACAAAATTGGCATTTCATACTCTTTGATTGAAAAAAATAATTATTTGAATACTGTATTATTAATCTTGTACATAGCACGTGAGAAAGTTATTACTCGAGAAATTGAGAATATATATTAAAAAAAAGAGTAATGGGAGAAAATATTATTTTCGCCTGCAAATTTAACTTATTTCTTTTTAGTGTAATATATATATATATATATATATATATAAAGCAAAAGACAGAGAATAATGAAACATTCAAAATACTAGAAAATACCCTTAGTTAATGCAAATATTAAAAATTGAAATTATTAATTAGATGAGGATAATATGGTAAATTAACACTTTTTCATATTTAAAAAAATTAAAATTAAACAAAAATTTAGATAATAGATCCTACTTTTATGAAACACAACTATCCATTATCTTTTTTAATTCTAAAACAAATTTAATATTTAAAAGAAAAAGCTTTTCTCAAGCGTAAAAGCACGTGCAAAGAAACTAGTATAAATAAGAACATAATTGGCACTTCTGCCGAACCTTATCTCCTTCAAATAATAGTAAAGGTGATACATGTCCCTTTTTCTTAGGATCGGATTTAGCTGCCGACTTGTTTCTATGCGAGTCAAAATCAGGCCGCTATTTAGAAAATATAATGAAATCATAATATTCATGCTTTGACGGTTTGCAAAGGATTCCCCAGGGGATTTGTTTCTCACTGTCTCCTTTTTTTTGTTTGAAACTCCTTTTCATTTTGTGGAGGCTAAGGAACACGCTTATCCTTGTGGCTCCCCACAAAACATGGTGCCCACATCATAATGGAAGAAAAACACGTGGCAGTTAATAATAAAAACCCATGGTGTTAAGGTTCTCAATGTCCATCATTAATTTTGGTGGAACTCCTTGTCAAATATGAACATCAAATAGCCCACTGAAAATAGAGCACTATCCTAACTAGGAAATGAGATTAACTTTTAGGTATTTTTATAGGAAAATTAATAGTTTAAATGGAAGGGTCAAATTTTGGACGTTGGATATCCTTTCTTTGAGAAAATACATAGCTAGAATTGGAAATATAATCAATATTGATATAGGGTAATTTGAACAAATAATTTCGGGTGCATGAACAACAACTTTTAATCACTCGAAATACAAACTTCTGTATCGGAAAGATTCTAAATTGAACGTAACCCTTGTGTTAATCCAATGACATACGTTGTAATGATATTTGAACGGTATCAAATTGATCTTTCTCAAGTTAAAGACGTGAGAAAAATGGCCCCCCGGAGATCTGTTACCGCCAAATACTTCTCTGCCCCGTGTGAAGAATTCCCGCGTCTGAAAATCAAAAAGTGTGATTGACAGGCGACGTGTCGTAACTGTAACAGTTGACGCGGGTGCAGGTCGGCCAAGCCCAGCAAGGGCTCCACTCAATGTCAAATCCCAACCGACTTGAGAAGTTGGACCCTGTTCCTATTTTCGATCCAATATTTAATGTTTTCCACTCCTTTTTTTTTTCCTTTTTCTAATTGTCATATTTAGAAGTGTCTGGCTAGGAATATTGATATCAATAAACATTTTCCATTAATAAGAAAAATATTTGAGATACATCTAACTATACTTAGTATAGTGGGATTTATATTTGCATTCACGCACACATGTATAGACAACTGTTTTTAACATATTTATATCCATTAATACAATTTTTTCTCACTATTCATATCGAATAAAATTAAGTCCTAATTTGAAACGAAATTTCCGAATCACGCTAAATTTGAAATATTCATATGTAGTGAAAAAGGAAAATTTGGGAAATTTTATTGTATTGCTTGGTTCATTGATCTTTTTAATTTTTTTAATTTGATAAAGGTTCATTAATCTGAATAGCAAGGACCATCAAGGCGGAGTGAAGGGCTCCCATGCTGTCATAAAGAAACTAATAAAGTGCATTATTATGTAACTTTAATATACATTAAATTATTTGATGTAGTTTGCCCGATGAAGATGCAAAAAGTACAATTAGTGACAGAGACTCTCTCTCAATTTAATAAGCTATACTGCCATGGAGATGGAGCTGTCGTTGACCCAGTTGAAGATTTTTCCAAGGTATAGATATAGTACACATATAAATGCCATCATTGTTAACTACAACTAAACAAATATTCCATGCATATGTAGATTTTTTTTTCTTCCAAATATTTATTTAAAAAATAAGTAATTAAAGAGTTAATTAAGGAATATATGAAAGAAAAAAAAAAGTATTAATGTTTTGAAAACGTCACATTTTCTAACTATATTATGAACTAGTTTTGGACTTAAATGGTAGTGCAAAAATACTTATTTATAACGGGAATAACATTATTATACTATTCCTGACCAACAACACAATTCATTGTGTTATTGACGAGAAGTAAAAAAAGCGCAATCCCCGATAATTTCTCTCAGGGTGGTGGGGTGGAGTTAGTTGTTAGTGGTCAATGGTGGTGGGGTGGAGTTAGTTGTCAATGGTCAATGGTGGTTGACAGAGTGATATCTAGAGTTGCAAAGTACATAGCGTGATATCAATGAAAATTAAATAGGTGGACAACTACCCATCACAATAAATAATAGGAAAATTATATTTGAATAATTACGCTGAGCGAAATTTTTTTTTTCCTAAGCTTAACTTGTATTGCTAGCTAGTTCTCAATCCCAAAACCAAATCCAAAATAATAAGATAATAAAAACCCAAAATAAGTGGCAAAAGAAAAGGAGACACTTTAACTGATTCTCACTCCAAAAAGAAAGCCGACCTATCTACCAAAACGTCCAAGTGCCATACCAAAAGAAGCGAGTGAGCACCTACCTCTCAAAGAATAACAGCCAAAAGAGAGTCACCTAACGAAAGAGTCACACTGCTACACTAGGCACACCAAGCTCATCAAATATCTGTGACTAATAATATTATGTCGATGGAGGAAAAGAAAGAAAGGAAGATAGTTTATCGAATAACTTTTCGATGTGACTTTATTCGTTTTATTACCGACACACTCAAATATTGAATTACTGTGCATTTTACGTGGAGCATATTTTGAGAACCCATAATCCCACAACGAATTTCTTAAACAAAAAGTTCATAGTTTTCAAGTTTTATAAATTATTAATGTTTTGATTGTCAAGACCCGTCGCGCAAGAATTCTTTTTAGTTTCTTTGATCCCTTATATAATTTATTTATGCCAATAAATATATACGTGCCGGTGAGGGCATGCACTGTTGTTTATAATTTGACGATATTGTCCTCTCCCAGCAATCTACTCTAGGATTACAGGCTACGTGGAGGCATTACCTCATTACATAATAAATCCATGAATTGTCGGTACAATCAATCACCTCCACTACCTTCATCATATTTTATTATATGCAACCAAATTTGGCAAGCTCCACGTGATTCTTGACTAAATCATGTTTCATCTTCATTTTTTCTTGGGTCAAAGGGCAAGGAACTTTGACTGCTTGTATGAATGATGCTATTTCTCACAGCTTCTTTTAACAACCTTAACTGTCAAAATATATGCAAACTACCTACATATGAATTCTTTATCTGAGCTAATGGGGTATGGCCAAGTGGAGAAAGGGCTTGACTTGCAAATCAGGTTCAAACTCCTATGATACTTAGGTTTGAATTCCTATAACACATTGGTAGTGTGCGTATGAGAAACTATTCTTCTCTTATAGTTTAGATTATCACTTGTATTTTAAAAAATGATTCTTTATTTGAAATGCATGTGTTTTGTTTTTATAGTGTGTGAGTGATTGCACGTAAAGGTGTGTAAATCCTCTTTCAACTACAAAACACCAAAAAAAAAAGACAAAAAAAAAAAAGGATAAAGATTCCATGGCTTGGTCTTAAACATTCTAAGCATAGGATTCGGATCCCTTAAAAATTGTACCGTTTTCATACATTGTAGTGGCGATGATGTGTCTAGGTTGGCCAGCAAATTTGTCCTTTCTATAAATAAACGAATATACTCACCAAAAGAAGGCAAGAGCAACAGGCCAAACACATACAGACACTCGTATAAATGGCCAAAGCCCAACAACCAAGTTAACAAGCTAAAGGCCGCATAATATTAAAAAAAAAATGCAACGAGGAGCCTGGATGGCCAGCAGTTGCCAGACGAAGAAAAATACTGATGATAAGGGGACTTGCACAAACAACATTAATCACATTCATAATCAGAGAATTTAAGTCAGAAAATGGGAGTGACCAACACTATGATAACTCCCCTTGTAACACATGTTTCTCATTTAAAGAGAACTTGAGGATGAGAGTTTCAAGCATTCACTCTGGCATCTCCTAAGGCAGATGTCATTCCAGTTTGGTACTTGATGCTGGTTTACGCAAACCGTCCGCGCGCATGCATCCGCGCAGGCATCGAGCTCAGATACACCGCAGACAGTGACACAAGTATCAGGAATTGGGTCCTTTGAGAATGCACCAACCTTTTTCAGCATTCTCTTCGATGTGCATACCCTCTCACATACAAAAATTTCATCGGAACTCTTCTCCCTCCCTCTAGCACTCTTTATTCTCTCCTCTTCCGCACGCCTTTTCTTCACCCGAATTGCTTGTCCTGCAACCACTGCAGGGATAGCGGCTAACAGGGACCACCACACTTCCACCATCACCAATGCACTGGTCAATCTCTTCTTCAGAAGTCTAACAGAAAAAAAAGGAAAAACAATGAACTTCGCTGATCATTTAGTTATCATTAGAATATTCGCTTAAGCATCAGTTTACAAAATTCTACAGGTCATTTTGGCATAATCCAATGGCTATACAACTAAAGCCTGAAATATTCAGGTCACCGTGAGAGAATCCTTGAATTACATGTAACAGATACAATGTCAACTAATAAAAAAGAAATAAACATATAGCAGAAGTTGAAGAGCAAAATAAAATGAATCCCATGCAAGAACAAGGCCACAGAGAAAATGTACAAGCATTAGTCCGACCTTTTCTCTAATTCAGTTCCAAACATAAGATCGCAACCAAGTTGACTCATGTCATCTAGTAGAAAAACAATAGAGAAAACAGGAAAGATTGCTAAAGGGGGTTGCCCTTTGCCAAAAGCCTATATCAGATATTTTCATTTTTCTTAATATGTTCGAAAGAATATTGGAGTCACCTGAGAAAACAATTGAATATACTCTTGCCTTGAAAAAAAATTAATTAACTATCATGAATGTACAGCCATCATACAATTCAAGTTCCAAGGGATATAAGAATCAGGCCACTAAGTTCGAAAATTTTGAAACTGAAAAACTTGAAAAACAATGTAACTCGCACATTTCCTACATTGCAAGCCTCTCTCTGTCAATTTTTTCCGGGTTCATGTTTTCGGGACATTGTTTGACCAAGTCTTAGTAGAAAATATCTGATGACTATATATACACACATGCAAATTGATACAAGGTGCAGTCTTATTCAACTGGAAAACAAGCCAGTTTATGAATTTCAAAAAACCCAACCATTTTAAGCACAATAGCACAATTTTTGTAAGTTTCCCTTTCACAAGAACAAGTATTTCAAAAATCTCCTCAGTATCTGATGCTATTTTTCTTGCCCCCTTCACTTCAGTTATTGGAACTTAGTTAAATAATAATATTAAAAGATAAAAAGAAGCAGACAGATAAATCCTTATGCATACAGCAGATCCACTAGTTATTTCCAATAACACAATTAATTTGTCACAGAATTAAGTATCATAACAATGCATCATATAATACATGAATGCCTACTAGTAAGAGTACAAACACACAGAAAAATTAGTCTCAAACTCTCAAACAGGCATTTCATCAACCATTGAGCACAACCTCGTGATCAAAGTTCATATCAAAATCAAGACTCTCCCAAATCAAAATTTTCACAAATGGAAAAAAATTACAGACAAAAATCTAAACTCGCCAAATTAAAATCAATTTTCAGTAAGGGCGGCCATGGCAGTAACTGATTCAAAATCCTTGAAAATTTCGAGCAGAGAAAAGGATAACTCACTGAAAAGTTTGAAGCTTTGGGAGTTGGAGAAGTAAACGTGCAAGAGTTTGCGAAGTTGAAGAGCTCCTGGAGGTGCCTGTGAATGTAGTGAAGGTGAGGAGCTTCTGAGAATCTGAGGCAGCGACCGGTTAGGGTGAAGAAATGTTTCTTATTCTTGGGCCAGAAGCCCAATATAAACAGTAAAACCCAATACACCCAGTTCTAACTACACCTAAAATCTGATCAATACACTGATGATTTTTTTTTTTTTTTTTGGAATTTAAAACTTTAAAAAAAGCTCAAAAAGTTGAAGAAAAATCCATGAGTTATGTGGTTTGGTTTATTTCTGTTTTAATTTTTTTAAAAATATTTTCTACATCATGGATAAAATTGGAAACTTGGGTTTTTTTTTTCAGAGCTGGGTGTATTAATAAGATTCTAGGGTGCATTTTACAGCCCATGGAGGATGGTCTTTTTCAGAAGAAAAAAAAATTAGAAAAAAAAAAAGGCAATCCATGTCCATTATTTCCATATTGTACATTATTAATTAATGAATCGAAATAAAATCTACTCCAATAAAAAAATGACAAAACTTTGGGATAAAATAATTATAAAAAAAAAAAAAGGAAAATTTGATTCTAAATACATGTGCCTGCTAAGTTACAAAAATAATAATATCCTTCACACTGCAGTAGTTTGGGTATCAATCAAATATAGTTCAGAACGTCATTGAGAAGATAGACTAAAAGCAATGAAACAGGGTATAGTAGGTAGGCCAAGAAGGCTGTCCAGAGAGAGAAGGTTGAAACAGAACTTGCAGTGACACCCATTACAGTGCAGACAATTAGAACAACCAATAATTCAGCAGAAAATTCCCATGTCATTTCACGAGCATAAATTATTGCTAGAAGCACAGAAACTCCCAGCACATTGTTCATAAAAACTCCACCATAAATCTGCATCCAATAAAATAAGAGAAAAAGAAAAGTTGGTCAAGATATGAAAATGAAAGAAATTTGAATACAATCGATAGTCTCAACACACGCGCTATTAAGGTATTATGGAGGTTCGAACCTGAGACTATTGATGCGCAATTCAAGACTATTTTCTACTGATTTAGACACCGTCGGCTAATTGAAAAAAATGAACTTAGAAAATCACAAACCTCAGAAAATGTCAAAGAAGTGGTTCTTGGTGTTTTTCTAGAAGCTGCTTTAATTGCTGAAGTGGCTTGCCTAGCATTTGTTGCCAAGGGGACAAGCACAAATGCTACACAGAAAGAAGGAATGCTTACAGCTGTGGAAAAAGCCTGAACACTATCTATAAGAGGCTCTGCTAGAACTGCTAAAACAACAAATCCAAGCACCAAATATGTTATGGCCTTCAACCAAGCCCATATTGACTTGTCAACAGCTGAACCACCCTTGCTTTTCTCTTCATCCACCAACCTATCTGTTTCTTCCCAAGTTCTCTGCATAATTTCACTTTAAAGAATTAAATTTAACAATTGTAATTGTATGCATGCATGATAGTTCTTTTCAATCGAAATATACGTGGCTCCTTATGTGTGAATCACGGTTTGACACGTGTGGAGAAATTTTATATTTGTTCTGTTTTTAACTTGTATATGTGTCGGATTGTAATTTACATGTAAAAAGGAGTGTCTTGTATACCAAGCAATATTGTTTTCGGTCCATTTCCCTTATAACTTTTACCGTTACTTACTTGATAGATATCGTCTTCAGATTCATGCGACGAGGAGGGGGGTTGAGTACCATGGGATTTATTTATCCATTTTGTTAATCCAGTAACAAATTCTTCCTCACTGATCATTTTGTCTCCACTTGTGTCAAGTTCTTCTATCAATTTCACAACTGATTCATCCACGTCCCCTGCAATCTTACCAAACTTGATATCCGCGATCAGTTCTTTTAGTTCTGCTTGCGATATATTATTATTTCCATCAAGATCAATCTTTTCGAACAACCTGTTGTTTTCACGTGGAAAGGAACAAAAAGCATAGATTAATTGCTGATTAATTACATCTATATAATAGTTATGTTAGATTACCAAAGAAATACAATGCTACATTACCACCGGACTCGAAGCTTAAACTGTTAGAAAATGAACCAACATTGTATATATATATCAAGCTAACAAATTGTGTTACTATTATTTGTATAATTGTTTGTATACTAACTAATTCTTGGTCTACTAGTATTTCTCTTTTTAATGTTAGAAAATGTAGTGCTAAATTCGATTTCTCCCTCCACGTTGATTGAAAAATAAAAAGTTTGTACGTGACACACGAATAGGAATAGCAACCAAATGTGGTCTAACCTTCTAATATTTGGTATATCAGGCATGCCATCTTCTGTGAGAATGCTTCCAAGTGAATTTCTTTGGACATGTCTTAGTACTTCTGACATTAGATTCTTCTTCATTTCACGTTCTCTTCTTCTATTTTCAATCCAAGGTTGAAAGACCTAATAAAGCACATACAAATTAATGAGGAAAGTGGAAGTAATATTATGAATAAGGCAATATCTTTTTTCACATAATTATATGCTCAAGTTACCTCATATATGTTCTCCAACGATCTTTGGGTATGTTGTTCATGCACTGCCTTGACCTCATCAATCCACTTTGTGAAGCCATTGATGAATTCATCTTTAGTGATTTTCCCATCACGATCCAGGTCAAACTGTTTCATCACTTCTGCTGTTCCTTTATCCTTATCGTCTTCTGTTGATATGAATTTGATTTCAAGGAGAAGTTCTTTCACTTCAGAAAGTGATATATAATTGTCACCATCTTCATCCACTTCCTCAAATAGCCTGCAACGTATACACATTGTTCCATTAAGTTAAGCAGTGATCAAATAATAAACAATATATACCCTCTAATTCTTAGACGAAAATCATATATATGCACTGACGGATCATTTGATGAGTAAATTTGGTGATTCTAGCATTATTGACGGATATACAAGAAAGAAAAAGAAAACGCAGAGCAAATATCCATGCAGTTCCAAGGAAGCATCACCTTCTGATAGCATATAAATTCGGTGCCCCTTGGACAGTGAGGACTCTCCCTAGTGCATGTTTTTGCACATGCTGTAAAATGCTTGACACCAAATGCCCATGTTTGACGAACTCTAATCTTCTTTTTTGAACCCAGGGCTGGAAGATCTGCAGGGTTTTAAGATGTTGAAGATTATGAGTTCATCATAGACATTATAATTAGTAACATTAGCAAGCAAAAAGATTAAATAGATGTGTATACCTGATAAATAAAGTACAATAATAGGAAGAAAACAGACACACAGAGAGCAACCAAGATGGCAATGCGTTCCTTGGAAGAGGATTGGAAGATATTTGCAATTTGCATTATAAGAAATGGTGCTCCTGAACAAATCATAATCCTTGCAAGGCGGCTGGTCTCTACATCCGTAGTAATACCACAACCTATGAATTCAAAGGAAAAGTAAAAAATTATAAATAACTTTAATCTAATCTAAACTACGGGAAGAGAGATTCGAATTACAGTGGAGTGTCGGAAGTACATCCGCTCTAGCCAACTTGACTAAGCCTATTTTTCTTATTTATTACTATAGAGAGGATACATGATTTATTTATTTATTTAAAAAAAATTTGGAATGTTAATAAATAGCAAATAATCCAATACCTGTCAAGGATGCAGGTAGTCTTTTCCATGATAAAGGTGGAGAGGAAATTGAATCCCTGGAAGCCTCAGAGTCAGAGCTTAGTTTATTTGGAAAGTCTTGGCTGCTGACAATTATACAAGTCCCCCAAAGTATTGTTAAGAGCAAAATTGATGTTCCAGCCAACAACCCAACTCCAGTATACACATATTCCGCAGCAATGTCCTTGGAGTTAAAAATTCCAGAAGCTATAAACAAGGGTTTTCAAATTAAAATTACAATTAGTCAGTCATATGCTATATGAATCTATATGTAATCAATGTAGACTCTAGTACAATAACCAAGCTAAATTGCAACTTGCCTAATTAATTTGGTGTCATCAATAATTCAATTGTTTGTTTGATTCTTTTATTCCCTGATTTGGCCTAAGCTTCTGTAGGTCTTGTGTGTAAATGCAGAAAAACTTATATAAAACAGGATAATACTGTTTTGTTATTTTCAACCAATCGTAAACTGACACGTGAAAAAGTTTTCACACGTGACATGTCTCGATTGTTTTTCCATTAGGATGCATGTGCTTGCTTTTTCTGCTATATTGGTTGAACAAAGTGAAAAGAAATGGGAAAAAGAAGTAAAGTAACCACTAGACATTTATTATTGTTTATTAATTTTCTAATTAATAATAAATATATTGGATAATGATAAATTAATCTTAAATTTAATTTACATACAATTACCACTAGACCTGTACTATTATACGTTTTAAAATATAATCAAATCTATATTTGTTGCTTGTAACATTTGATTTGACCCCCGAAAAAAAAAAAAAAAGACTGACCCATTTGAATGACTCTTCCAAGCCGCACAACATTTAACTTTAGCCAACCGTAAGCCGTGCTGTAACTTGTCCATTAAATAACTGTATAATATTGTGGATCACTAATCAGAAAATTTGTCCAACAAATTTGCAAATCACAAGCAAGTATATGTTTGATGTCACATCATCGAGAAATTATAGAATGGTACGGTATTACCATGTCAGCGGGTGATACTTCGATTTAAAATTTGCCACGTGTAATTTTTAAAAGAAAATTTATACTTTTTTTTCAACTAGACATTAGGTTCCAATTTTACCCTTCACAAAAATTAAAAGAGAGAAAAAAAACTGCCTCTGTCCAGTTCGCAGCCCCCTTAGTCGCGTCACCCCTCCCACCTCCGTCCAGTTCAGTCTCCCTCTGCAGCGCCCTCCCTCCTTGTTTGTATTCCTTTCCCTAATCCGTCAATCTCCTCATCTAGGTTGCCTTCATCTCCCTTAAAAACTCCAAATCCAAGGGCAGCAAGGGGGTATAGGACTGCAGTCGTCTGTTTTTTTTTTAGTTTAGTTCTAAAGGGTAAAACTGATACCTAATGTCTAGCTGGAAAATAATTTAATTAGTAGAGGGTTAAAAAGACACATGTCAATATATGAGGGGAAGTATCACCCGCTGACGTGGTGGT